AGCCGCAGATAGCGCCCCCTGGCAGCGGGGCAGTACAAGGGCAGCCTCCCGCTAATTAACACCAGTTAATCAATTAACAACAAGGCATGGCAGGCGAGTAGGTGGGTGGTTGCCCCCCGGAACAGGGGTGCGGGCCACGTTTAGGTAGGCCCAGATCGTGTACCTGTCACACCCATCAATTCTTGCCTGTTTGCAAGCAGTAGGTCAAGAAGAGTAGGTCCCCTAGTTGGTTGCTCCAGCACTTGCACCAGGAAGTTGTCCCCAGTACTCTCCAAAAACTTCTTGGATTGCCTGTGCACTGCTGTATTGCCCTGTATTTCAGAATGAACACTGCTAGTAGGCTCTTTAAATGAGGCCAGTATGTAGCTTGGACTTTTTAAGTGACATCATGGTGCTTAACTTTAAAATGGAATCTTCCATTATATTACACTTGTCTCACATGTCATATGTGCAAATCCAAAATTTTAATTTAAAACATTTGAAAAGTGTAATAAAGCGGGAGGAAAGATTTGCACGTCTAAAACTCCGTGACCAGTGCCAACTGAGACTTCAAAACTGGCCAGAATAACCAGCTGTCATACATTTATCAAATAAAAGCTGGTACCTACTATTAAATCAGTTCTGTCAAAGCAGGTTTACTGCTGATAGACAAATAGACAGAAGCAGATGTAAATATTTTTAAAAGCACTTGGATAAGCACTAAGGAGAGAAAACAGTAGTGTTTGTTATGTGTCTAAATTGAAACAAGATGGCACTGTTTCAAAATGTTACTTTAATTTTAGAGGAGGCAGCTGGCATTGCTATTTGACTGCCTGTTGAGTTGAATGATGGTATCGATAAGGGTTAAAGGACAACAGTGATGTTATTATGCTTTAGTCAAAGAATGTTATGACTTAATCCAAAACCAAGGGATACCAGAGGGACTGGAAGCTGTATTGTTGTATGAAGTCTTCACCAAAAAGTGTACCAAATCCAGTCATTGTTTTAACGCATATAATTTGTGACTACTGAATACATTTATCAGTTTGACAGAAGATCTAAAGTATGGAGAAAGGAGTCTCAGACACGGATGTTACTTGTAGTAAGAAAGCATGTAAAGGGAGAAATTGCTGGTTCGTGCTTTAGGTGGATGACATTCTTGGAAAAAGAGATCCATGAATTTATCAAAAAAGTATGAAATTGGCCATGCCCAATCGCCTGCTACTCCTCTTTAAAGTTGGAAGTTCTCTGTAGCTGAATGGTTTTGGACTTCGGAACTCTGAGACAAAAGGATTATCACAGGCTTCATTGCTAACAAAACTAAATGCAAAACTCAATTCTATTACTTCTTGGCTCAGTAATTTCTTCTCTCTCTCAGATACTTACAAGCACACAAACATAAGTGACTCTTAGAAATCCTGCAAACTATTTAAGCACCTTTTTCATGCTGGGGAAGAAGCAAAGGAGAGAGGTTGTGTGAGAGCTTCCTGACATGGAAAGCTATTGCACACAGTGAGGATGTGACCACAGACCTACTTAGGGAGACTTCTGGTATAGCCTTAGTGCTGGCATGGATGTTGGGTGCCTGCCAATGTTAATATTTTAGTTGCTACCACTAATGCAAAAGTGTTTCTTTCTCTCCAAGCCCTTTAAAAATCCTTTAAGTTTTTCCATGAAAAGGAATAAATTTAGAGGTAATAAAATACATTTGGGATTTCTAATAAAGACAGAGGCCTGATTTATACACCATTTCCACACCATTGATGCATGTTTGCAATTCATAAATTTAATTCTCCTTTTTCCTTTTACATGGCCTCCTCCTGTCACATGAAGGAAGGGCTGGGTTAATTACACCAGGTGAAGCTGGTACAGACACATATATTGTGTTCCACCAAGACAAACATACAGTATATTTTCCCTCCTTAAACCTGGGCCATGTGCAAGGTGGATTGTACATAAATAAGTTGCGCTTGGTTTATACGTAAGTGCTCTTGCATGGAGGAGAGTGCTAGGAGCATTTTTAGGACAAGCCCAGCACAATCCATTTCCTGAGATGATGTCAGGGTCTGCTTTTTCTTGGCTTTTGGGGATACCAATGGAATGACACTATGACCACATGCTACTTGGTAGAATTAGCCAACTGTGCTTCCTACCCCAAGGATCTCTTGTGATCTCTGATAATACTGTGCTTGTAGTTCCACCAGTGTTGCATGGATCTGTGTATCCATTTTACAAAAACAGCAATGTGTTAAATGCAGTATCTGTTTTGAATTGTGATTTACTCAAATATGCAATTTAAAGCTATTTTTTCAATGTCAATCTTGGCATTATATCAGTATACACATATATACAAAGCACAGTCTTAAATTTCCTTTGGAAAAACTGATTAACCCATACCTGTTTCTCAACACTTGGCATATTGTTAATTTCAGACCAAAGCACTCCAACAAGAGCTTACCCACATTTCTGGCTGCAAGTACTCTGCATGCATTCATTCTGGACCTGAAGCAGCTGCAAATGGAGAACACGTTCCTTGTTATTACTAAGACTGGATATTGAAATGAAGCAGCCTGCATGACGGGCGTGCTGCAAGATATAAAATTGTCTCATTAACCTTAAACGCAGCACCATTAAACTGGTCAAGAAAACAAGACAATATAACATTTGGGTGCACAGCATTAATTTATTTACTAATTTTTATTTAATCAGTAACAATATTTCAGTGAGCCAGAGTCTCTAACACAAGAGATTCTTTGGCCAAGGGAGCAGCTACTGTATCTTTTTATTTCATACTCTTCTCTTTATTGCATAAATAAGCAAGTAAGAAATGTAAATGCATATTGTGCTCACAGTATGCATAACATAACACATGCAGGACCTACAGTTAGAAAAAGCAACTTTGATTGTTTGGTTTGGAGATGCTACTGATATTTATTATTTTGTGTTATTTTAATCATTACATCTTGTCATTCTTCCTCCACAGCTTGCAAAGAATCCAACCTTTCTGTCAGTGCATCTAAGTGCAATACTTTAATTAGCTTCCATCTCGACTATGCCATCCATCCACATCCATTTGTCCCTAAAATTATCTTCCTTAATTTCACCTTGTCACATCCTCTTTTTGAATCTGTCTACCTGGATTTTTGAATCCGTCTACTTGAATCCATCTACTATCTGTGGCTTCCCCTTGTATACCACATCAGGCTTAACCATGTACAGAACTCCTATTAACTTCTTTGCAGAGACCTGGAAAGTTCAGGCTCTTGTGTTCTTACAAAAATAATACTATAGGCTCACTCTTACTCATCTGAGTGCACAAATGTTATGCACCTGCAAAACTGGTGGCTGAGTTTCAAAGGTCTGTTTGATAATTTGGTCTTACATGGCTTGAACTAAAGAAAATTAGAAAACCCAGACAATAAGTTACAATAACATGCTATCCAAACATGTCACTTGATCTGAACTTTGACTTGTATTCAGACTTCTTACAAAATATTACTTAAATATTATTTTCTAGGTTTTATTTTATTGGCGTATTTGCTTTTTTTACTTATGGTGTTTTAAGAGGAACATGACATACTTAACAGAGATAATATAATGAATTAGAAAAATAGGCTGTCAGGGTATTCTTAAATGTGTATATGTTTGGTGATATGGACTGCTACATTGCATTATGTCTTACATGAATCCTGGACCACTGGGAGAAGACATTACAGGCAATAGCTGTTTTTTAATATTTCCAAATAGTTATCAATAGCAGACTGTAACAACTCCAAAGGAACCTTGTATCAAGGAGTGATTGAGTAGACCTTGACACAATTGACCATTGTGGTCTACCATGTCAATAACTTGCATACTGAAGAGAAATCATTAGTTTGCAGATTGGAGTCCCATGCAGTACTCTGTGACCCATCTGACTATACTGTCTCCAATATTAGTGTATATCAGTAATATGCATAACATATTCTATGGGTACATACTTATGCAGTGGAGAGCTATTATGTACCAGTAAACTTTATATTAAAGAGTCTAAAAGGTATTTTCTTGGACACTTCTATTCCATATGGTAGTACAGCTACCAATGAAACTGTTGTATTTTCATGGTCCCAGATTCAGCAACACAGTGTGAAAGGAGTTTCTTGTATCTTTCTACTGAGAGAAGACATTTTCTCTTTTGGCTGAACAGTAGTATGAAAAAAAATCTTTCTGGAAAAGGAAGATTAAAGGCAAGCCTTAATGTATATCCACAAAGACAAACACATTCATAGTTTATGTTTGAAAATCCATCATTAATGTGCACAAGTGTATTAACATAAATGTATTCTACATAAATGTACAATATCATGTGCCTGTGATATTGTATAGTATATAATAAAGCGTTGCATTCTTTCAGCACAACTTCAGAGGGTCATATTTAGTATTAACTTTGAATTCCTTGCTTTAGTGGCTTTGTCAGAACTTTAATTTTATGGATAAGTTGTTAATTTAATTAAGGTACTATGCAAATTGTATATGATTTTTGTCTGGAAATTTTCCGTTATCCTTTAAGCATAACAGTTAATTAAAAATACTTATTAGTAATGGGTAAACTCTCAAAGATTGGAAGTTCAGAAGAGCATACAGAAATTCGTATGTATACCTAAAGCTTCTCAAAGAAATGAGACTGCGGCTCTTTTTACTTTAGAGGTGTAATGGAAATGTTGTGAGTTTCTGTTCAGGCAGGAATTACCATCCGAACACCAATTCTTGTCATGTCATACTTCACTTTTTTTCTTCTCATTTCAGATGAAGAAACTAGTATAGAAAAGTACAATACTAGCTAACACAAATTTTGTAAATCACAAAATGTAAATAATAAAAAAAAGTCTGGATAAATTAAAAAAGAGAATGTTTGGGCTCCTCTCTACATTATCCATACTGGTTTCTTTCTTCCAAACCAAATTCTTCTGAAAATATTCAAGTCAAGAAATAGCATGTTAAAGTTAGCAGGTGTGTTCCACTGTGGACATAGCACTTCAAATAAAGATTTCATTTGTTGCAGTCCAAATGAAGTCCCTTTATTTCACAAAGCACTGTGCATGAAGAAGGGCCTGATCTTTCTAGCTTTTACTCTCAGAAGTAGATTTTGGACTATGAGTTTGGTAGACCTGAATTAATAAAAGTTTAAGAATACAGGAGTGGAACTTTTATCCATGGCCAGAAATCTTTTCACTAGCTTTTTAAACCTTTTCTATTCTGAAATTCTGGTGACTGAATGTGAACTGTCAGTTCATAACTCAATTGCTCGATCAGGTTTTAGTCAGAATACTAGGGGATATCTTTTTCAGATTAAGATTGGATTCAACCAAAATGGTGGAAATCTCAACAGAACAATTTTTTTTTTTTTTTTTTTTTTTTTTTTTTTTTTTTACATAGTAACTGAAGGGACTGCATGAGATTTCTATCACCTGGGGCTGTATCCTAACTACAACTCAAATCATCACTGAAATTGCCCACCCTGAGTCTATGCCCTTGTTTAATCTCAAACCTGAAATCCAGAACCAGCATAAACTAATTTTGGATGGATATTCTGCCTCCTCAGTCCATCTCTGCACCTAATCAAAGACAACTCTGTCTAATCCTAGATGTTGCATTTAAGAAATTCAGGGACTTGCTCCACCAAAATCATAATATAAAATATGATACCTTTTATTTTCCTGTATTTTCTGTACATAATCAAGATAATAAAGTGGGTAGTTTTTCCTAATTCCTCACTAATAAAAACTGGAGTCATGCTATGGTTTCAGAACCTGCCATTCTTTTAAACATGAGATATTTAGTTCCAGGTCTCCCATTAGTTCCATGAAAACATGCATGTGAGCAATTGTGTGCCCTGAGGTGGTGTATTCATGGTTTTAGTATAATTCTTTGCTTATAGACTTAAATTTGCTTTTCTTTTTCAATAAGGACTCTTCTAAAAGCCTAATTTTGGACCCATTATACTTTTGTTTTGCCAAAGTATACATCAGTACTGTGAAGTATGGTGGCACAATTGCAAAACAGTTGCAGCATAAGCAGAGGTGACATGACGCAGCGATGGTGAATCAACCTATGGTAAAGTGATTGCATTATATTCTGTAGTTTGTTCTGTGTCAGTGAATCCCTCTGTCTACTCAGGGCTTTTTAACTTCAGTGGCACCCTATGTTCCAGTAGATTTTCAGTTAAGTCAATGAAGGAGCCACATGGATTCTGATTTTTTTTTGTCTGTCTACATCAAAAAATACAGTGTGTCTTTAGGTCCAAGTTATCATTTCAATGCTATAACATTTTAATAGTTCTCTATTAGCATAAAAACTGTTACTAGAAAAAAAATTATAATTAAAGTTTTACAAAAACAACAGCAACCTTGCTAAAAACATTTCTTAAAATGTTTTGCTTTGATATTTTTGATGTGTGGTCTGGAAGTCCAGGCCTTTTGATTCTTAAAGTACAAGCAAAACAGAGTTTATAAGGGTATATATGCCTTCAGCGCTGAAAGCATCTCATATTTAGAGAGAGCTGGATTCTGGATAAACTTTCTGGGATATCTGGAGTATGAGTACAGCAGTCAGAAAACTGCCACTTGCAAGGGTAGTTATTCACCCTAGCTCATGCCAGAATATTGAAAGTTTGCCTAGTGAACATTCCCTGGAATCAAAATGACTTATTATCAAGTTTCCTTTGCTTTTGATCCTGTTGTAGGATGATGTGTTTTCCTAATGATGCAGAATCTCTCGTTAAGTTCAGGAAACAGGATATAAGGATAAGTCAATTGACTGAATTTATTGGCATAATAAAAAAGCCCCTATTACCTTCAGCAGTCAAGGCAATACAAGGTGAAACACTGAGCTGTAAAATTATTATGACAAAACAGTTTAGTATTTACCTGACAGAATAAAGAGAAAATACTGTATTTATTTTTGAAGCAGAATTTCAGACATTATGACCCAAAATTAATAGTGGTAGCCTGTCATTTATATTGTCATACAAATATGTTTCAGAATGCTCTCAAGCCAGAAATATATGCTATTAAATCATGACAAACTACAAGAATTTTTTGAAGTATTTCCCAATGTCTGCTCTATGTCTCCTTTTGGCCTTACTGAGTTAGTGTTAACAGCTGGGACATTTTTTTTTTCCTGCTTGTAATACAATTAAAAACAAATTTAGCAGCAGAATAGATGTTTTGTCCATTGGAGGCCTGTTAGTTTTTAGGAAGGTGATTGGCAATGTACACAGCTGTTCCTGACAATTATAAACTTAGAACAGGAAAACAGGAGAAAGAAACTGAATTGACCAAATATGGTTTCCTCTGTTTGTCAGTGGAAAGCAAATCTTTGGGCTGGGTTGAATTCTCCATACAGCACACACAAATCATACTTTTAAACATGCTGCATTACAGCAACTGCAGATGAACTAAAGATTCTCCATAAGATTCCAGAGCAATAAATGCTTCTAAACTGCAAGGAACATATTTGGCATGTAATGGAAACAGTTGGAGATCCGGGCTAATGCTAGCTTCATCTCACTTAGTTACCTCAAAGGGAGAAAACACCCCTCTCATTTCAAATGGAATATAGTCAAAGTGGCAAAACCTGGTGTATGTAAAGCCATTGGGCTGGGGGATTAGGGTAGCTGCATACTTTGCTTTTGTTGGTCTGACAATCTATGAACTTTAAAAGTCCTATGGCATTTTATGTAAAGAACTCTGGATTAATCTTGGTGTCCTTGGCCAAATTTAAGTGATGATAATTAAAATTCACTTACCTGATCTCTCCCTCAAGATCTTGTTGTGCAAGGTATTAGTCTGTCTTTGTTTTAAACACCTACTGTGGTACAACACAGAAGTGACTGCACTTTTACAACGGATGAAGTGAATGGCCCTTGCACGTAATTTGTATATTAGTTTGTAAAATACTTTAGGATCATAAGGAATGAGAAGTGCTATGTAAGTGCAAAGCATCATTAATATTATATAAATGTATAGTCATTAGCATTAAAAATTCAGAAACAAATTATTTCTGGTGTCAGAGCTCCTTAATATGTTTCCTAATGTTACACAATAGGGAAGTAAAAGTAGGAGAAAACGAACTTAACATACTAGTGCCAAGGAAGACCTTGTGTTTCAGAACAAGAGGCACAAGTAGGAAAGCCAGTAATGGAAACATTTTAACTTACTCCAACTAGTGGAGAAAAAAATCACATTCCAGGCCCATTTACCATGTCTCTCCACTGTTTCTCATCTCCTTTTGATGTTAGTCTGCACCACAGAATAGTTACAGAGCAGATTGCATTAGTAAAGGGACAAAAACAAAGAGGAACAGCAGGGACAGTACAGATGCTGTGGAAGGTAAATGTAATAATGATATTGATGACTTTACTAATTTATTTAGTGGACCAGAATTTAGCATGGGAATGAGGATTAGTTTGTTGTCTATCATCATTATTTCATTCATCAGCTATACGTTGCCCTTAGCAACTGGCATGCTCTTTGCATGTACTATTTTTAGCTTGTTTTACTAAGAGAGATTTCCTTTTAGTTCTCTTCATCTGTTTTTGGTGAGTAATAATAACAATGCATGTGTTGCTCTGTGAAGGATTCAGAACTGACATCTCATGACCCCTGAAGAGCCAGCAGACTATTTGGTTCATTGTTCTTTGGTTTGTAGTTTCTTGGGAAGGGCCCAAACTTGCATTTCAGCTGTATATGTTAAATGTTTTAACTCTGCAGGTGAAAGAGCAGCTGGCATTGACTATGGCAGCAGAACCTGCTTTTGCAGGAGGCCCATATGTTATCATATTTATAGTTTCTTTTCAAGGAGCCAGTTTCTCTTTGCTGCTGTGGGAGAACTTTCAGTTCCTGATTAATTTTAAAATGTTGGTTGAAGTGATCAGATAAGATCAGGAAAGAGAATAAGGATACACAGTTTGCCTCCTTATTCATGCTCAGAGCTGAGTCTGCTCTCCCATTGATATGCATGTATAACTCCCATTCTTCACCTCATTGACTCTCCATCCCATTTCAGTCCTCATCTGAAAAAATATATTTTCTGCATCTCCTGTTACTTCTTACTTAACTCTGTAACTTTATTACTGAGCGCTGTGAAATGTCTTGGGATATCATTTCTATGAAGGATTCCATACAAAATAAAAAAGTTATGTTATATTTCTATTTGATTGAAGCTATGTCCATGTGTTCATGCCAACAGACCCAAAATGTGTTAAGGATTTGGCTTCAAATGTGCTTTCTCAGTTTCTCTTTCCTGCTATGCTGCAGAGGGAAGGAACACAAGGTATGACTGCCAAGGGGATAAACATCACCTGGTTAGGTTTGACTTTGAGGTAGTGATTGAAAGCAGGTGAATTCAGGCACCTATACATCAGGGCTGTCCAACTACCTGCTCACAGGCTGTGTGAACCTTGTGTGAATTGGCAGCCCCTCCCCCACCCAGGCTCCTACCTGGCCTTTGCTCCCCTATTGGTGTGGCTGCAGCAGCAGACAGGGTCCTGGGATACCTTCTGGCTCCTCTTTTCTGTGCCTGTCTGAGAGGGTAGTGTAGCTTAGCCTGCAATATGATGCATAGGGGAGTCCTTACTTGTGATCGAGGGGGCGGGGGTGTCTGCTCATGGATATGGTCCAGGGAGAAGGGGAAAACTGTCTGTCAATTGTGTGTGCTGTGCTCTGGGGAGAGGGGCTGCCTTGGTGTGCAATGTGTGTGTGTTGGCTTACCTGCTTGCTTACGTATGTGATGCAACAAGGGTGGACCATGGGGCCCATGATTGCATTATTACAGCTTGTAGGGCATGCAGCCCCCACTGGTGCAGACTGGATGAGGTGCAGGCCCTGGCTACCCAGACACTGGATAGCCCTGATATACATGAATGAATCCATGATCTTAGTATGATTCTAAGCAGACAGGTGTTTAATACCAAAGAAGCTATACTATCACAATGCTGAGCTGAAGCAGTGAAAAAAAGACTGGACATAAGAAGTAAACCCCGTGACATGGTCTTCCAGAATGGGGTTGGGGCATATGCCTATGATGCAATAGAGGCACTTACACAGCTGCTGTCTATATTGCATGGCCAATACCTTTATAATCTTTCCAGAGTGTTGTATTTATTTTAAAGAAATAAAGCAATGAATAATATTGCATAGTTCATGAAATACTACATTTCTTCTTGCTTTGTTCACTCGGTTACAAGTAACAAAGAATTTTAGTAACAAATAATTTTAGCTTGTTTATTAAGGTTTATACTTGCTGGCATGTTCACTTTTGTGAAGTTTCACAAACTTTGACAAAAATTTATAATCTTTTGCAGACCTTGAAACTTTGGCAAGGGATTCTATTTTTGTTGTTAAAGTTTTGTAAGTAAAAACTCTCATGTTCACTAACTTTTTTTCCCCCAGTATGGAAAAAGAGGCTAAAGGCCTGATCCAAACCCATTGAAGTCAGAGGGAGAGTTTCAGCTGACTTCAGTGAGCTTTGGATTGCATCCTAGACAAGGAGAGAGATCTGCTCCCCTTTGCCCTGGATGTGTTTGGTATGTGTAGATCTTATTTAGGTTTATAACACTTGGGCATGCAAGCAGATTAAAAAATCTTGAAAACTGAAAATGCACCCAGCAGATATTAATTTTGAGGCAGACGACATTTGACTCTGAAAGCCATGTATGGGGTGGGGGTAGGGAGAATCTATTGCCATGAAAACCAAGGGGGTGGGGGTGATCTATTGCCATTTTGTAAACTAGCAAATAAAATTGCAGCCAGTGGCGGTGGGAGCCAGAGGTGTTTGCAAAGAGCTAGCATTTATATTCTGAAAAGTTAGTGCACATTTCAGAAAGATCACTGCACATTCATGTGTCACTGCATGTTTTTATTACCCTGCTGTGCATGCAAAATTGTTGCTTTTTTTTTTTTTTGTCAACTGGGAAGTAACATGAACCTGATCAGCACAACAAAGTAGAGTGGACTCTTCTACTTACTGCTCCGTCTTTACTGACTTAGGGGAAAAGGTTCAGTGGCTTGATTTGTTTGGATATATGTCCAGACATTCAGAGGCTTACCTGATCCCAAGTATGGTTGATTATGAAGCCCATCTTGTCTAATAGGTGCAGGCTTTAGTATTTGTCCTTAAATTTCTTCAACAGAGGAATCATCTGGAAATAGCATAAGCAAACTGATTTATAGTATTTCCAATACTTCTTGGTTTTGCTGGCATCAGGAATATCACAGAAATGAATTATGTTACTTTCAGTGTTCAGCTGAAATTAGAATTCAAGTGAATGGGGTTTGTTTGGGCTTTTTGTTTGTGTTTTTTTGCACTTCTTTGTGTAAAGCAGTCTGTATAAGATACAAAATAGCAAAGAATTCCATCCAGCTGCCACTGAAGCTGTTGTACTTAAGATTTCAGTTGAAACAACTGGATCCTGGAAAATAATGTTAGGAATCAAGGCTATCTTGTTGAATCTGTGGGGACATACATCTGCAAAACATTTTATAAGGTGTGGGCAGCTACACAGGTGTTATAAAACT